ATTGTTTAATTACATTTTTTGATAAAAGTTTATAAATCTATTTTTTTGGCACAAAAGATGACATGCATTTAATAAAGTAAAAAAATGGCATTACAAAGGTAAAAAAAATGAGTCAAATATCGCCTTTAGAATGGCGATCATTGATCAGGTGTTCCTATTTTATTTTATTTTTTTTAAGTAGGAACAGTAGTGTTCCTGAAAAGAAATGTAAGCGTAGAGTCCTTAAGAATGTAATGGTACCTTTTAAAAACTAATTGCAAGCGTTTTTGCAAACTGTAAACGATTAAATATAATCTTAAAATCATGCATTTACATTGTCATTTAGCAGAAATATATATATATATATATAGTGGGTACGGAAAGTATTCAGACCCCCTTCAATTTTTCACTCTTTGTTATATTGCAGCCATTTGCTAAAATCATTTAAGTTACTTTTTTTTCCTCATTAATGTACACACAGCACCCCATATTGACAGAAAAACACAGAATCGTTTATATATATATATATATATATATATTTATTTATTTATTTATTTAATATTGTATTCATGCAATACTGTACCTTTAAATAAGAAGTGTTTTGAGGGCTTAGCTAAACAGGCCTATTGGAGACAATAATCATTCTCATTTTTTTATCAAATCATTCTTTCATTTCTCTAATCAATCTTTATTATTATTATTATTATTAAACACAAGGGGTCATTAATGATGCTCACATTAACATGTGCAAATTCACACACAATGTATCTTTAATTTGGCCAGAATTGCAGGTGCCTGTCTTAAGAAGGTTTAGAGAAATATCAATAGAGATATGAAATAAGTTGTTAATAAATGTTATTATAGATTATAAAGGGTTTTATAATTAAATACATCCGAAAGGTCATTTAAAATTACCATTATTAACCCCTCCCCCTCCAAGCCAGAGTCCCCCCAGTAAATTTTGGCCATTTCCACCACTGTCTTTACCTGCATCAAGACGCGCGTCGCATCGGATCTTCTTCTGGGCCTGGGGTAAATTCCAGGCTTTATGAATAGGCTGCGCTGCGTGTGGGTGCATAGAGCACAATGCAGATAAGGAGCTCAGACGGTAAAGACTGTACAGTACCTCTTGCTGGATATGAATTAAATAAAAACAAATTTGTTTTCAAATGTTTTAAGTCGACCTTTCAAGCTGTCTATGCATAACAAGGTGCGGCAGAAAGCGTACCCTGTTATTTTACAAAAGCAATTTGGGACTTTTTTGTTGTTATAGTGGAAGTAGGCTACACAAAATAGAGCAGACACTTATATTTCTTTTTTTCTGTTACCACAATGCAAGGGATCGCGCCGGCGCCGCTGACCCGAGAAGTGCGGTGTTGCGCTTTATATGAGATGCATGTTTGCAAGAAATATAGCCTATATGCAACAGCCAAACAGTATGAAGAAACGTTATTGTGACTAATTTGCAGAGCGGTACATCAGATGAACTCTTATTCTGCGTGATGGGACAGACAGTAAAGACAGGCTGAGTTGAAAAGTGGCGTTTCAGGGCCGCTCACGCACAAATGCATAAGCGCATTTTTTATCCACAAACAAAAAATACGAACAATCTAAATCCGTGTATCATTCGATCATTAGTTTTTTGATTTAATATTGAAAGTAGAAAAATGAGAAAAGGCTCCTTTTTCGTTTTTTCGTTTTTTTCCAAAAAACGGAAAACGAGAATTCAGCTTAAATTTTCGTTTTTCGTTCATGGGTGGAAAAATTAATAAACAGCTTGAATATTCGATTTCTACACGTGGGCGGGAATTAAACGCCCCTTTCTGCTGATTGGTCAGCCGAAGATCAATCCTCAGTTCCGCGCAGCAGAATAATAGTCCTCCGCTGCTGCAGTTGTATGGATTCTTAATGCCTTTATTGCAGCTCATCTTTTTCTCATAACAACGAGACTAACAAATGGATGTGATTTATTTAAAAATGACTAATGCATTTAACGTCAACTAATCTAAATGTAAGCTTTTAAAAGCAGTTAAGTAGGCTATTTGCTGTGTTTTGGTTCATGTTTGTGGCGTGTGTCAGAAAGATGTTCGAGGAGACTGAACTTGAGAAAGATGCTCAAGGAGACTGAGACGCGCTAAAGCAGCGCATTCTGTTGTTCTCTTTATTTATCAAAGGCATGACATTTTTGAACGCATAATATTACACAATTAAAAATATAAATTTTACCATATGACTATAAATGACAGAGTATTAAGTTATTGTTATTATATTTTATGAAAATCTTGCGTTGCAGTGTGAGTGCGCAGCAGTTCATGCCGTGCACAAGTGCATATCCTTTTGAGATATCAATTATAATCAATTTTAATAAAACACAAGACTACATTATATAACTCTAACAGTAGGCTATTTAATATCTGTTGTTCTCTGGTTGTCAGTCAGAATGACAGTTCTTGCGTGAACATAGGCCTATATATACCCAAGCCAATTTATTATTCTTTCCTTTTTGTCTTAGTGTTTAAAATATTTATTTTGAAAAAAAAAAATGAATTTCTTAATTAAACAAACAAACAGACTTACTGTGTGAGCAAGGTAGGCTATGACAGCTGTCAAATCATACGCTGCCATGCCCAGCTGATGCAAAGAATAGAATTTATATCTACACAGAAGAAAGCCCTGTCTAGACTCTGCCCAGGTATGAGTTGTGTTGAGCTATTCATAAGTCTGTTTGTTTGATGAAAAAAGATTAAATGTAGTTGCAATAAATGCGTTAAGAATCCATACAACTGCAGCAGCAGAGGACTATTATTCTGCTGCGTGATACTGAAGAAGAACTGATGAAGGCACGGTTTGATCTTCGGCTGACCAATCGGCAGAAAGGGGCGTTTAATTCCCGCCCACGTGTAGAAATCGAATATTCAAGCTGTTTATTCATTTTTCCACCCATGAACGAAAAACGAAAATTTAAGATGAATTCTCGTTTTCCGTTTTTTGGAAAAAAACGAAAAAGGAGCCGTTTTCTAATTTTTCTACTTTCAATATTAAATAAATTTTTGAACGATCGAATGATACACGGATTAATCTAGCTTAATTTTCGTTTTTCCGTTCTTCAGACAGAACGAAATAAAAATAATAGTAACAATAATAATAAAAATAATAATAAAATCAAATCGTTTGTTATTTATCTTTATTTCTTTTTGTTCGTATTTCGATTTGTTGTTAAATCAAACGTGAGTCATTAAAAAAAAAGGAATATTCCAAGCCCAGAGTCGGTATTATTAAAAAATAACTGGTTTGATATGATCATCTAAAACGAGTCATATCCTCTGACTGAGTGCAGTTATTGAATATAGCATTGTAGACAGACTGGAGATTAATCCTAATAAACATGACGCTACAATAAAAATATTAAAATACATTTAAAACAGTGTATTTTTATAACTTCAGCAGCGTGCAGATGCTCCTTTATGTCAGGACTGCAGCGACAGCAGCGTGGACAATCGCTTAGCTCGCTCACATAATGTAACCTATCTTCTGTAACGGGAAAATCATATTGTTTTTATGACATGTCGTTATTATGAGAAAAATTATGTCTTTTAACAATGTAACTTCTCATTATTATGACATAAGTGAGCGGAAAAAATTATATGTGTGTGGCAGCAATGCGTCGCAGTATATTTGTTTGTTTAATACGGCATTTTTTACGGTTTACGCGCGTTTTTTACGGCGTCGGCTATCAGGACGGCATATTTGACGGCGCTAATATTGTTTGAAACGCCGTCAAATACGGCGTTTTGTATGGTTTGTACCTCTTGGCTTGCCATACAGAAGCAGCAGTTGTGAGTGTGGTGGCCAACACTAGCCCCGCCCTGCGTTAATTGCGTTAAATATTTTTAACGAGTTAAACTGAAAAAATTCATCGCCTGCGTTAACGCGCTAATTTTGACACCACTAATTTAAATTTTTTTTTTTTTTTAAAAAATGAGATTTAAGACAAATTATAAATGAAAAGGTGTCCTTTTATTATTTCAATGCTTAAATATAAACTTTTTTTTACATTTTTCTAAAATATATATTTTAAAATATTATTTATTATGTTTTTATTTGTATAAATGCAATACATGTACTAGACATATAATAATTTACTGAGAGCATTTAAATTGATATTCTCTGCTTGTTTAGAAGTTTTACATTCTGTGTAACTATAAGCCGGTATGCTATGTTAGATTTAAATACAGCAAAGCACTCAGCATTCCGTTTAGTTGCACTAAGGGGGCCACCGGGAGGCCAACTCCTATTTTGCATATGGAACACTGCCACATGGTGATGAATGCTAAGTTCAGCAGTACAGCACAGACAGTGTTCCATTCTCTCACGGCCACTAGTATATGTTCGCGCACTTATCTGCAAATTACGGTATCGGATTATTTATTTAGCTCTGTGATTTAGCCTCAACGATTCATTACAGAATCATTTTTTCCTGTAATCAGAATGAATGGAATGAAAGGCTATTTCCATCCTCTTGATTACAGATGCTGCATTGTAATCTATAAACGGAAACAAGGTTGAGAATAGTTAAACCTATGATTAATTGTGCAGTGTTGCTGATAGTTCTGAAATTAGTTAGGCCAGTGGTTTCAAACCCTCTAGGAACGGGGTTGAGAACCACTCAAGGCTACAATAGTCTACTAATTGTATTGGGTCTAGATTGATTTATGCAGAATGACTGAGATTGGCCAAACTGAAATTGCTCAATTAGTTCAAATTTCAGCTGAAGTTAATATTTTTGAAAAGGTAGATTTTGCTGTTCCGTGCTTAGCTTATAAAATGACACACGGCGACGTCCTAATTAAACATAATTAATCAAAATGAGTTATCATCCACCCTGCCAGGGGCGGTGCCCACAAGCCTTGGCTTCTTCTCCGCTAACGTTGCTGAAGTCCAGTTTTGCTCAAATGTAATAATAGACTCTGTTTTTAGAAAAGGAGAAAACCAAATCTGTTTTCTTCAAATCTGTGTTTCAGCTCCCATACTGGAGAAGAGCATGTTGGAAGGTTGGAAGAGAAGCGCACTGCCTGTCATTAGGCCCAGCGGGTTGAGCGGTTGTGAAAGCTGCTCGAGAGAGAGAGAGAGAGAGCGCCTTGTCTAAATGATTAATGTTGCGAGGTTGGGAGGCGGAGGCGGAGGAAGGCATATATGTAAGGTTATGTTTTAAGAATACAAAGTACAGTATTGCCTAATTCAAAAAGTATCAAAGTAAAATCCACAGAAGCACTTTAAAGCTAAATTAAGATTCACTCTCAGTTGTTCTCATCTTTTTTTTTTTTTTTTACCAAATTAACAAAGAAGATCTGAAAAACAAGAACGACAACATTGTCATTTACATGCATTACAGTCACCTTTATTAACTATCCAGATGGATTTAATTAGATTGAAGCAACCACTTTGCCGTTTCAAAATGCATGCTTTTAATCAGCTATGACCAAATTACAATAAAAGTGGCAAGATCTAGAAATATAAACATTTTACATTGCTGCTCTGTCTTGTTCACACTTTAGTCTACATGAATAGGTCAAATCAAATCAAAACATTATCAAAGCAAGAATTCTGACATTGACTTAGCATTGTGACCGTGAATTAATCCTGTTTTGTTGCTTTATTCATTTGTCAGTCAAAACACCATGAATTCAGTATACTTTCAGTATCAACAGGAAAACAAAACTTGTGTAAAGTCAAACTCAGAGTAGCGCATTGTCAATAGGAGAACAAGTCATTGGAATTCAACATGGGTTAAATATTTGAACATTTCTGGCCATTATAATACATATGTTAAAAGTTTCAGCACATGCCGTGGGAAAAATAACATATCATTCTGAGAGCAATAAAAATATGTTGTGCACTTACAAAAGTTGAGGGCATGTTAATGACCAGTCAGGTCTTGAATGCCCTTTTTAAATTGTATTTTCTGTGCCCAAGAGATAAACTTGTACAAGTGAGTCTGCATCCGTGCGCAATAAATCTTGGCGCTTTGCAAAGATATTATTACTACAGCGATTTATGCACAGTGGAGACTAACTCTGATTTTACCATGTACTAGCTGATAACATGTAATCTGGTTCAGAGCAAACTTGGCTATTGAACTAACATTTTCATATAAATCATTATCTAGGGGCAATAAATCTTCAGTTTCCTTAAATATAAATCATGTCAGAGAGAGTTATAATGGGGAAAAAAACTGGTCAGTGACAGAACAGGTACATATTTTGTGGAGAATTTGTATTTGTATTTAAATTATCCAAGAGAATTCAGTCATTCATGTGAATCAGGCTTTAGTGCTATTTTAGTGCTGACAGCTGGATTCTGAAAGCAGAAGACCCTGGTTGTTGGACTTCCTGTTTCACCGGTGGCTCTGTGCACAGTTCATACCAGACATTGATGTTCTCTCATAGTGGTACTGGAATTTTAATGGCGCTGGGGAATCCGCTGTGCTGCCACTAATCACAAAGGGTTGGTTACCTGTTTCCAGGTAGGAGTAAGAGGACTTTGCATTTGACTTTTCTTTGTGATCTTTCTTATCCTTCATACGACGGTTTTGGAACCAGATTTTAATCTGGCGGTCAGTGAGCTTCAGCAGCGCAGCCATTTCAAGTCTCCGGTTGCGGCACAGGTAAGCGCTGAAGTGAAACTCCTTCTCCAGCTCGAGCAGCTGGGAGGAGGTGAACGCTGCACGTGCCCGTTTACTGTTAGAACAGCTGCTATGCTGTACTTCACCATTGCTGTACCTGGAATCACCTGGAAAACATGCAGATATATAGAAATGTTAAAGTACACCAGGTCTAAGATTTGTCAAACATAGACCGATGCTCAGGATTAGAGTATTAACCATGTTGCACAGCCTAATGTCAGAGCGAATCTCTCTGATGCCTATGCCTATGTAGCTGCAAGTTTAAATCCCCAGTGATTAATCAATGTATTGAGAATCCAGCGCACTGTCTGTGGGCAGACCACTGTTGGTAGACTAATCACTAAGTTAATTATCCATTTCATATGACTTCTACTGTGGTTCGATTCCTAATGATTTGTGTGTGGATTTTTTTTCTTCTTTTCAACAAATGTTTTTATATTGTCCTTACTGCACATATAAGCTGACAATCCCCACATATTTGCTCTATCATCTCATTCATTGTTGTATATGTATGGAGAATATATTCTCTAATGTGAATGTATGAATTTGGTTTAGGCTAAAACAAGTGAAGCAGTCTTATATGTGTGACCCAGAAAAGCATAGCCTCAGACAATATAAAAATTTCACTAGGCTTTTTTTTATTATTCTGCTCCTTAGTAAAAGTTTAACTTTAATCAAGTTCACAGAACAACTGGCTCTCTCTAGAAAATATTACTTTTCTTAGAAGTTCTCTTCTTTTTTTCCTTGTATGCAGCTTATGCATTTTTAACTTGAAAAGGACATATTTTCACACAGTAAAAGTACTGTTAGATAGCATAACAAAATCACTATACTTAAAATATATATGTTTTAATTGTGTTTTTGTCAATGAGCATACAATCATATTTGCCCCGTCTTGTGTATACTATAGCCATGTGTCCACATTCACCTTGATGGACTGGACTGATAAAAATATTTGAATTAATTACCTTAACCGAACACAATGAAACTTTAGTTTTAGAATTCTTACATGAATTTTGTGGAAATTAACAGTCTTTATTAGTCGAGACTGAAATGTTGCCTGTAATTAGGGGTTCATTTTCTATTTAAGGAGGAAGGAAAACACTAATAATTGATTAATAACTGTAGTTCTTGATGATGTCAGCCATTGACATCAGTGTCTAAGTGACAAATCACAGTGACATAAAATCAAATCTCACACAGCTGTTATTTATTATCTACTAAAGATTAAGTGGATATTTCTAAGCAATACCAATTAATATATCTCTCCAATATATCTATATTTACTCCAAAAATGAGTTCTCTCACCTGATTCCATGACGTTAATGGAGCTGAAGTTTATAGGTGTATGTGTCTCCCTCATCCAAGGGTACTTCTTGGTTGAAAAGCAGGAAGTTGACAGCTTGCACCCCGTTGCATTCGCCCGGTCCAAGGAGTTTGTCGTTTCATTCGTGGACTGGTTGACACCAGCAGAGAATGAATAGGGATGTTGAGAGTGTTTTTGAAAGTTCCACATATGGCCTTCATAATGTTTTGATGAATTCTCTTCAGCATGTTTTCTCCACGCAGAACTGCTCTCCTGCAGAGCACAAGGGGAGAAATGTTGCTCCATAGAACAAACATGAGATTTATTGCAACATGTCTTGTTCAAGTACGCATTGTTAATATGAAATTCGTGAAACGAATTCTTGTGCATCTCTAACCACCCTGATCACTCCGGTTGGATAATCAATCACACAAGGTGTAGGAAAGACATAAACGTACACTCACTGCCGTCTTTAATTGTTTTCCAACAAGGGTAAACAATGTAGTCACGTGATGGCCTCCTCCAATAGCCTCGCGCACTCGCTGTTTGAGTTGTAAAGTGCTGGAAAGCAACCAAACGAGGATGCCTTTTTCCTCCGCATTCTTCGACTATTTTGCAATTTCGAATGATTATCCTGTGGACAGACGAAAAGCCATGAGCAGGGCTCATACATTACCCTGTTACCGTGCTGACAGAGTTGAGAGAGCGTGATTTGGGAGGTGGGAGGGAGAAAGAGACCCATTTGGACAGAGAAAAGACTTGCATGTCTGGGATCGCGTCTCCTTAGTTTTGCCACAATGGATTGCAGAATACAGACTTCATTTCCGTGATAACGTTTTATAATACAGTGTTTGAAACCCTGACTGACTTTTCAGTCCTCTTGTGGTAGGTATTAAAATAATAATCGACTTTTTTGCCTTATGGTTAAATAATTATTCCTGTAACGCTTTACATTTGTGACAACAGCTCCATACGTGTATTGATTTTTTAAAAATATATATTTTAAAAAATCTTCGTAATCGTTCGTTAACAGCCATGTAGATGTTTTAGCAATGTCTTTTTATTAATAAACTATTTCAGTAACATTGTCTTTGTCGTCATGGTTTGTAAAATGGATAACAAACAACGTTTCTGCGCGGCGAAAGAAATTGCCACACACGTTAAATTGATCCATGTCCAATAGGCTAGGCTACTACTGACGTTTCTAGACAATTTCCGGCGCGTTTTGAGATTTCTGCTCATTTTCACCTGGCGAAAAAGACATCAAGAGAATCAATGGGTGTGGTCAAACAAAGGGATTTTGACTGTCAGTGCTGTACTGTCAATGCATGTCAAAAATAATCTTAGTGGAATTATAGAGTTTCGTTTTCCAATTAACTGGCAGTGTAAGAAAATGGTCGCTGAGATGGCATTTGCTAGTCATAGGTAACCAACGAAATATGTTCAAGTTCATCGTCTGTAGTAAGAATCGCATTGTCGTCTATTTAAAACAACGTCCTGATGAACAAAACAGCAGGAACAGCCCAGATTTGAAGTAAGCACGACATTTTAGGGCAATGGTGAAGTCTTTAGAAACTTGTTGGAGTCGGGTAACTTGTTGTTTTTAAAGTAATTTTAAATAATTACAAATTGATTACAAAACCTTTCTACTCGCAATAGAATTAGCATTTGTCCTCTGACGTCATGAAGCTAAGCTGGTGGAGGGAAGGGGGTCATTGCTACAGAACGTTATTTAGCGCTCGACCTGTCCAGATCGCTGTTTTCCCCAGACACCTATCGACACAGTAGGATTCGTTTTTAGCCAGTTGCTAATTAAAACGACGTCTTGCCGATAACATAATACATAAACCAGTCACGCTTAAATAAGTTAGTATCCCCAGTCTGAAATGAACATAAAAGACATCACCCTTCCTTTACATAAGTTGTGGACAGCGGTTGTCTCGCACTAGTGATTAATTGTGCACAAGAACTGAAAACCAAGGACTAGTCCCTTTTCATTTACTCTCCACAGTGTCTTGTTTGAGTATTTACTCAGACACTCAGTACTGTCAATAACATGTCTAGGGACTAGTCCTTTTTCATTTACTCTCCAAGACACTCAGTACTGTCAATAACATGTCTAACGTATTTTCGAAGACAAAGACTGATAGCCTCAACGATTCACTCTCTTTCTCTTGCAGGGATTTTTTTCTTTTCTTCAGGGAATGTTAATAATAATACACAGCTCTCGAGTTTCTGAGACTCTAAACTAAAGGCTTGCCAATATGGCCAGGTAGCTATGTTTATGAAAAATGGTCATCTTAGTCCTCGCACATATTAAGATAACGTTGGACTGCATTAAAACAATTACGTGTAACATGACAGCAATTTAAAAGCCTTGTATTTCATTTCGAATTGTTTAACTAGTCAAATCATAACCATTCATATACTGTTTATAAGAGAAGAATATCAAGGAGCCATGGGGCTATCCTCTTCGGTTGTAAGGCTAAAATCAATATTTTTCTAAAAACGATTTGTTATTTTGAGTTCAGTGAATTGCTGTCACAAGCCTTGTCAAATAAAAGCATTCACTATGCATATTACAAGTCCGGCTTCTGCCGAGCTGCAGCGCTATTAACATGAAATAGCCTATTACTGCGCCCGAGTGTGCAAGGAATGCAAGTGTACTCATTCCATAATCACATATGAATTAGATATTCAATAAATGCTATTTAAACAATTTCGATGCATTTTTTATTTTATTACTATTAATATTTTTGGAAGGGGTGGAGGAAGCTATTGGGGAGTTTATTATTATTCTGCAGGTTTTATGGTCCCCCTTGCACCTTTCATATATTTCAAACTCTTCCCTTATTGTTTGAAAGTCGCCTGTGATCTTGGGAATTTTCTAATTAAAGTAAGTTTGTTCCCTTGTCTCATGCCGCTGGGTCCATTCACTAAATCTGAAAAGGAATCTTTGATGTAGTGGCTCAGCAAGACCATAACTCAGCGCCTCCGCCGGTACACTACAATTCTCAGTGAACTCTGTTTGAACCACGTTGCTGGCAATAAATCATTTTTCTTTCTCTCACAAAAGCGCGCCGGTCGCTCTGGGTGTCAACCCTTTTATAATTCCACCCTACCTTCTGCGCTCTTGTGGTTGCTGACACAAACAGCTGCATAAAACATCGATAATAACATCGCTTAACCATTTCATGCAAAAACAGGCCCTCTAAAGAGAATAAAAACGGCAATGAGGCAAACACTGGAAATAATAAACAAATGAATGTAATGTACAAAGGGCCGGTGCATACAGCTGTCTGTTGCTTTCTCTACTACTCCAACGCGTGAGGACATAACCTAAAAATTTTGGAGAGAAAAAAAAGATTTTAAAACTTGATAAAAGACTTTTAAACAAATATCGATACTGTGTAAATAGTTCTCTCTCGCTCGTATGAAGGATATGTCCATATCCAAATACAAGCAGACCTTTTGCATTTCATAATCATAATCTTTTCATTGTTTCTGCACATCGCAACGGATTAATTTCTTTAATAAACATTAGTGATATCCTAATGGTTTTTTAGGCATATAGGACAAATAAGACAGTAAATTCAGGAAATGATTTTAATGAACAGAGGATGTTGTTGGTTATAACGATGCATACAAATGGGCCTGTCTCTGAAGAGCAAAGACTACATTTATATCTTCGGTGCCCTGCGTTGCTCTAAACAATCTGAACCTAAATAAAACGACTGAAATTTAGAATTCCTCTCAAGAATTCCTGAAACTTTAAACCTCTATTTAATATATATATATATATATATATATATATATATATATATATATAATATTAGGAAACCTGAAATATGAATACAATTCACACGTGCTACAATTTCTATAAAGTTGTCTTGTTGGCAGTGGTTTCAGGTTAACTTCCTCGCACCTTTGCCATATTAAGTTGGCCTATCCTTCTGTATTCGGTACATTCAAGAGAGATAAAAACAAAAACAAAATGATACTACCTGCTACTTAGTTAGTATTTCTAGAACTCTTATTTGCATTTATGTTGAAATGCGTAGTTTCATATTTTATTTATAAAGTTTTTATTTTTTTATATACGAATGATTGTCTAAAAGTGATTGGACTTTTCTCTTTGTTCCTCCTAAGCTAACCCGATCTCATGAGCTGAAGTTGTCCAATTTTGCAAGGATAGTTTCATGTTTTATTTCTAACGTTTTCATTGCGTTTTATCAAAACATGAATGATTGTCTAAAAGTCATTGGACTTTGTTCCTCTCAAGCTAAAGTTGTCCGATTTTGCAAGAATTTAATAGTCAGTGTGTCTTTATTTACTTTAAATTTTCAATAGGATATAGCATACTAGAAGTCTTCTATGCCAATAGAACATGCATATTTGAACCACTCACCATATTGTACAGAAAACATTAATCTGAATGCTATTTCTCTATAGAAAAGATGACATTAATCATTGCGGCGCAGCAGCGCGTCTAGTGACCTCCTCATGACCGCATATGTTTAGACACATTGCAGACACCCCGGAGGACTGGACAAAAGCGCAAAAGGTCGTGGGTTCGATTCCCACGGAGCACACATACTAGTAAAAAATGTATAGCTTGAATGCACTGTAAGTCGCTTTGGTCTGCTAAATGCATAAATTAATTATTATTATTAAATTAACAATGTCATGAAATCAGGAATCCGGTCCACTATTTAATATATATATATATATATATATATATATATATTTCATATTTTATTTATAAAGTTTTAATTTTTTTATATACGAATGATTGTCTAAAAGTGATTGGACTTTTCTCTTTGTTCCTCCTAAGCTAACCCGATCTCATGAGCTGAAGTTGTCCAATTTTGCAAGGATAGTTTCATGTTTTATTTCTAACGTTTTCATTGCGTTTTATCAAAACATGAATGATTGTCTAAAAGTCATTGGACTTTGTTCCTCTCAAGCTAAAGTTGTCCGATTTTGCAAGAATTTAATAGTCAGTGTGTCTTTATTTACTTTAAATTTTCAATAGGATATAGCATACTAGAAGTCTTCTATGCCAATAGAACATGCATATTTGAACCACTCACCATATTGTACAGAAAACATTAATCTGAATGCTATTTCTCTATAGAAAAGATGACATTAATCATTGCGGCGCAGCAGCGCGTCTAGTGACCTCCTCATGACCGCATATGTTTAGACACATTGCAGACACCCCGGAGGACTGGACAAAAGCCTCAATACACAATTGTACATCTATACCGTGACACTGGGAACTTCTCAGTTGCAGCAAGGGAGTCTTTCTTTTAGGCTACAAGGGTATGTCAACCAGTGTGACATGAGAGTGAAAATAACGCACTGAATTAAGTGCACTTTATTTTTGTTTGTTTGTTAACTTGTGCAAACTGGTGAGCTTTAAAAAAGGGTTTGCTTTGGATACGTGCCATGGGACCTGTAAGGATGTCTGTGTTTTAGGACTATAGATGAGGAAAGTCTCAGGCGTGTGTCCTTTAGCTCTTACATTAATTTCTCTTATCTCCTTCGTGGCATTTATAAATGTTTATTGAGATATAAGTATGGAAGACTGAGATAAGAGAACAAGAGAGATAAACAGATATAGAGAAACGGAGATGCATCCATATGGCGACCATTCTCAGTCTTGCATTCTTAACAAACTGCCCCTGTGCCATTATACGCCGAATTCTTCATTGTAATGAGACTTTATAGACAGAGACT